GTGTGTGAAAACATCTACATTGAAAGGAAAATAATGAGGTGCAGTGGTTTCTTGAATAGTTTCCCGTAGGGTCATCGGTTCATGCTGAGAAGTTGATGTATGAATGTACTTTCGTTTGAAGGAAAGTTCCCTGATTGTAAGCGTCTCTGCTTTGGGGGCCGCTATCGTGGCCCTTATGTTAAGGTGTTCGCCTCTCATTCAAAGGTCCCGGGTTCGAGTACGGGTAGCGACGAGAAAATTTTCTTCTTTAAAATAGTCTTCGTTCACCTCGTTTCCTTCTCTCTAGCAATGTTCTATTGCCAATTTTCGTCCCCACTTTCTGCCCCCACCTCCTCACCTCCTTTGCTGCCTCCTCTGGGCTCCTGACTCTTTCTGCAGCCTTTCTACTGCTACTCCTTGGTTCCTTCTTACTGCTGTCTTTCAGCCACACCCCTGATCTTCTGGTAGGAAAGTTCTACGCCTAGACTTCTCGGACAAGGGTGAAAAATCTCGGAGGTCCCGTGTGCAAGTCAGTTGTGCTCGTTAAAGATCCCTTGGTGGTCTAAAATCGATAAGAGTAGGCTTCGCCGTCACCCGCGCAAAATTCAAAATTTCCTACCCACTGAAAATGTTTAATATGTCCCGCGCTCATATCATGACCTTATGCAGTTGCGAACACCGTAAAACATCCCCCCCCCCCTAAAAAACCCAAACAACAACAACAAAAAACCCCCAAAACTTGCCGTCTCCGCATTTTAAAAGCCATTCTGAACTTTATAAAAAGTATCTTAGACGTACACCTAGGCAATAGTGGCTGTACTGTATTATTGTAAATAGTTCTGGTAAGAGTTTTACGGCACTTGCAACACAATTAGGTCATGTGAATTAGGGGCTTAGAGAGTAATATACATGTACATGTAAAAGGAAATGACGGAGGAGGGATAAGGGCGATTTTTATACTTTATGTATTATGTTTGATAGGAAAGAAGAAGAAAACTATACCGGAGCGTCTACCAACCCCCCGTTCTCTGAAGATACTCATTTTTTCTCTTAAGATGTGAGAGAACAGATTATTTGGGAACTTATCTGTGCTGACGTGTAGATTCTATCGAATGTTTAAAACATCCGATGAGGCTTGGTGTCTTTTAATACACTGTAGTAGTACCAGAGACACTAAAATATAATTAAATACTCTCTGGTAGTACTTTATAATGTGTGACGTGTGAGCACTTCTTCTGACGTCACACAATTCTTTTTTTCTAGCTCTGTGGGGTTGTAATGAATGCTTTTTGTGTATTTAGACAAAGAGTTTTTCATTTGTTTGGTCATTTCTCTCCCCTCCCCCTCTTTCTCTTTTTCTCTCTCTCTTTCTCTCTCTCTTTCTCTTTGTGTGTGTGTGTGTGTGTGTGTGTGTGTGTGTGTGTGTGCGCGTGCGTGCGCATGGGAATGCGTATTGTTTGTGTGTATGCTTGTTTATGTATAAAATTGTTTGTGTACGTGTCTGTTTGTATTTGTCTATTTATGTGTGTTTGTCTGTGCG